AATCACCCATGATGATAAGCATATCATTTGTAGACACGTTGTTTATGGTATCTTGTAGATCAGAATAAAATTTATCAGCGTCATTTGCCATTTGTTTCGTCGATGGATTAACTGGAGAATAAATAGATAATACTGTAATGTCAATTGGTGTGTACTTCAATCTAATTTTGATAATTCGTTCACTAACTGCTTCCCATTCAGACCCTGAATCTTTCCATACCTTTGTGGCAATAGGGTCAAGACAGATAGCCACACCGTGTGCTCTTCTGGTTTTATTATCACTTCGAACACCAGAATAGATCATTGTATAATCATTTACAAATTTCACCCCGGAATCACACTTACAAGTTTCACTTAGCACAGCTACTTGTATCCGGTACTGTTTCAGTTGTTTGATGATTAGTTCTTTCTTTGACTGTTTCCCACATGATCGAACATTCCATCCACCGAAATATACATGTTTTTGTGCGTTCGCACACTTCGTTTGTTTCTTTTCGTTAGCAAGACTTGTTTAACGTCTAACTGACAGGTTGCTAGCCTAAAAATCAGACTGTTGGCTACCAGCAGCCCAGGGTCGCCTCCCACCACTGTAAACAGTAACAGGTCCCTGTAGAAGTTCGAAAGCTCCCCCGGCAGGCAGCAAGTATCTAATTGATCGTTATCAATGAAATTGCGGTGTTGCAACGAAGCTGGTGTTGATTTTCCATTATTATCAATAATAATCAGAAGAGTAGAGATGTTAACATTTATCAGTATCTCATTGAAAAGATTACTGCATTCACCAGAAATGAAATTTACCCGAAAATAAACATGCTAATCATCAAGTTGAATCCATAACATTGTTTATGCGTTTGTACGAGAAATTTAAAAACAACCAGTATAAAGAAAATTTAACTTTTCTCATTCGCATCCGTTTCTATTGATTGTATTTCGAATTTAGTACCTTCATCTGTGTTTTCGTTTTTCTCTTAATCATATTGCGGTTGAAAACGTTTTTTAGTGAAGCACATTTGATAAATTTTGTTAACAGGATATTATAAATGATATTCATGTAATTAATATCATACCTCCTATACAATTTTTCATTCTTTCGGAAAACGAAACGATAAGATATACTTTAAGATAAGGATATAGAAAGAAAAATTGTCCTGTAGGACTGGATTTTTCATGGCCTATGCTGCAGGAAAAGATACACAAATACGCACTGTGACGTTCTTCAAACGGGACTCAACGGTTTCTCTTATACATTATATACTATCTTCGGAACGCATTTTTTTTCTAATTCATTGGAACTCTTACAAATATCTAGATCGATGAAACATGCATTTTCAGGATGCCTTTAATATTTTGGCTTTTTTCTATTGGAAGAACTAAAAATGAAAATGATATCTCTGCTGTACAAAAGATTTTTGTTCGATCAGGCGTAGTATTTTGAAAAAGTATGAACGACAATAGGGAGTATGGTGCCTTCAATATCTCATAGAAAGCAACACCGGGAAACTTTAAGTCTACGATAATAACTTTTGCTCTACTCATCAAAATCTGCTTACTTTGAAAATTTAAAATTTTTCTGATAAATCCTTCTCTAGATATTCCAGAATTTCGTGAGAGAGAATAGGAAATATCATTCATTAACTGAATATAAACTCTTAATATTTGGTTTTTGAATATTTACTTTATAGCGCATTGGTATAAAGACAATGAACTTTATCGGCTTTGTGGTAATGCAAGTGGAAGTACAAAATGTCCTGCTGGTTATGTTTGCTGGAAAGATCGAGGCATAAAGTAAGTTTTATTTTCAATCATTCATTTATCAAGTTTTTCTTATTTCTAGTCCTAATTTTGGATATACAAGGTATATTTGATTTACTTTTATTTTCATGTAAATTTCTCTCGATACAGTTTTGACAACTATGGTTGGGCTATGCTTGCATGTTTTCGATTAATGGCGCAAGATTATTGGGAAAATCTTTATCTATTAGTAAAAAAAATGAATTCTGTAAATTATTATTATTATTATTATTATTATTATACATTAATCTAGGTATTATCAGCAGCTGGTCGTTATCAATTTTTGTATTTTGTTGCTGTCATATTTTTTGGATCATTTTATATGGTTAATTTATTCTTAGCTATTGTCGCCATGTATTATGCAGAAGAACAAAAAATAGTTGCAGCTGAAAAAGAAAACCGTAAAAAACGTAGAATTGAAGATGAACTTGAAATACAAAAAGATAAAGAGCAAAAATCATTGGAAGTTCATGCAGATCGACATGTTGATAATGAACAATATCTTAAAAATATACTTAACGTTCAAGGTTCAAAAAATAAAACTTCGTATTGTAATGTTTCTATTGAAGTTGAATGAAAAGGAAAAGTAAATAATGTAGAACTTTTATTTAAATGAAATAAAATTCTTTTAGAAAAATAAATAAAATAATGTACAATCATCTCAAGCATCATCATCAAACTTTCAATGTGATAATTCAATAACTATTGCTACAACGTTACCAATGGTCAATGAAACACAACAGAATTCAGCCAATGAAGATAAGGAAATTCAACGAGTAAGCGATTGTTTTGATCTACAAGAAAGATCTCAAAATAATAATGATTCAACTATAGCAATAAAACGAAATTACACTGTTTATTTTTATTTTACATTTATCTTTAAAGTTTTATGAAGTCGAATCTCATATCCAATGTGCTCTAAGTACTGAAGTATTACGTGCAAAGAAATCGGATAGAAACAGTGTTCAATCAAAAAGTAAGTCATGTTGTAATATATACTAGAAAAACTTCTATTGGTTGATATTTCAATGTCGTGTTTAAGAAGATTTTTCTTTATCCTCTGTTTCCTTTTAATTTTATTCCTCGTTCTTTAAATCGACGTAAAAAGAATACGTAGTATTTCAATGTTGTATCGTTCATGCATATTTGTGGTTATACATATGCCTGTTTTCAAGTGATTATCTAGAAGAATATAACGTATTGTACAAAGTCGATCGTTGCAATGAAGATCAGAAAGGTTCATTTGTTTAGTATGATATTCACTTACCTATGGATTAGGATGAACGCTAACTACATTATTATTATAAAAGATATGAACATCATCATTTTAGATATGGATACAACGAATACACGTGGTGCAGTATTAATTAAATTTCTACGAATTTATTGTTGGGAATGCAATTGTAGATTGCCAATACTTAAGAAAATTCAAGTAGGCTTTAGTTAATTATGATCTCTCAACTTCATAGATGTCATAGTATCATTACACTCGATATCGAGATCTAAACGTTACAGTATCCGAAAGGCGAAACCTACTTTTAAAAGTTGAGAAGTTTGAGTGTAATAGAGTTCTGCGTGAGTTCAACTTTTGGAACTCAACGGAAACTGATAAATGAAATTTGTTTGTTTTCAACAAATAGATCACTTGTTTCAACCGTATCATATTCAGCTTTGAATATGAACTTTCAGTGTCGTAAAATGTTTTGTTCAACATCAATAGATGTTTGACATAATAACTCCAAGCCTCTATACCTGAGACTATTTCATAAGACTCCTATTATAAGTAGATATTTTAGTCCATCAATCAATTTTAAGCCATTTAACATCTGTAGGAACATTACGATTTTTACATTCAAAGACATACAGGTTCTGGCAGTGTACACTTTATAGATAATTATATATTTTGTCATTGGTATCTGTGTTACAATTAAAGTTTGTTCAGCAGGTTGTATTCGATTGAGACTCGTTCAATATCGTATATTCTTGACTTGGGATAGCTTTTTCTTCTGACCTCATTTTCCGACGACTAGAGCAAAAATATTAAAATATAAGAAAAATGTTAATTATTTTTTTATGGCGAAACAAACTTTTCGTGTATCTGTTCATTATTTCGAACATAATCAAATAGATTTCAATTTCACTGTTCTTCGTATGAAATATTGAAAAAGAAATAGAAGA